TAATAAAATCTTTATTTTATTTTATTTTATTTATTTATTTGAGAGAGAGAATGAGATAGAGAAAGCATGAGAGGGGGTAGGGTCAGAGGGAGAAGCAGACTCCCTGCTGAGCAGGGAGCCCGATGTGGGACTCGATCCCAGGAGCCTGGGATCATGACCTGAGCCAAAGGCAGTCGCTTAACCAACTGAGCCACCCAGGCGCCCCATCAAATATAATAAAATCTTAAAAAAAAAAAAAAAAAGAATCACTTCTTAAAGAAGTTGCTCTGTACCTATGTTTTTGTTAAAATAAATTGAAGTCAGTGAAAATGTATGTAAGTTATTCTGTTGAAATCAGTATCAGTAACTGTTTTCAAAATATGCTTTTCGTGTTCATTTCTTCTCAGTTGTTTCAGAGTGCTTACCTAAAGTTTTACGCTATATTTTGTTAGGCTTATTCTGTTGTGTTTTGATAAGATTTTAAGTTTTTTTTTGTCATGCCCACCACAACTAGAGTATAAAGTTCTTGTGATCAGGGCTTTTTGCACAGTAGCACTTAGTCACTATTTTCTGTATGGATGGATAGTCAAGAGTGTACATAAGAAATTTTCTGAAATTTTTAATATTCTTTTAAATTATTGTTTATTAAGAGTTTAGAAAGAGTAAGTTTGTTACATTTACATTACAAAATTTAAGCATTGGTGATTCAGGTGTTGATGCACCAATAGCTCAGAATTACTAATCTTTTGAGATGTGGTTTAGTTAAAAATTTTGCAGTATTAGCATATATTTGAGTAGAATTTTATGAGGAATTATTTGTCAGAGAGAGAGAAAGAGAAGTAGGCAGAGCAGCAGGCAGAGGGAGAGGGAGAAGCAGGGAGCCTGACGCAGGACTTGGATTCAGGACCCTGAGATCATGACCTCAGCCAAGGCAGACGCTTAATTGACTGAGCTGCCCAAAGGCACCCCAGAGATCATTTTCATTACAGATATTTTGTATCCAAGATTAAATTGTTTATCCAAACGTTCCTCTTTGTAAAGTATAATCTGTGTGAACTTAATTAATCAACTAATTGATTAGTCACTGCTGATGACTTTTAGAAAATTTTACTTTTTTTCTCTTTTCTCCCATTGTCTCTGTAGTGTACTATTCTTTCCCTTATGTATCTCTAATTGAGATTCTGGGAATCTTATAGTTAAGAGGGAAGAGGGTATCACATAAACAAGCTCCCCTGCTTGTGCACATGTACTCTCTCTATGTCAAATAAATAAATATAAACTCTTAAAAATAATAATAATCATTTATTCATTTATTTATTCATTCATTTGAGAGAGAGAGTGAAAGCATGGGTGGGGGTTGGGGAGGGGTAGAGGGAGAGGAAGAAGCAGACACCCTGCTGAGCAGGGGGAGCCTGGCAAGGGGCTCAATCCCAAGACCCTCCAGAATCATGACCTGAGCCGAAGGCAGACATGTAACCAACTAAGCCACTCAGGTGCCCCTACCTTACTTTATATTGGTGAGAGTTGCCATGTAGGGTCTCTAGACCCTAAACAGTATAATTCCTTTAGAGCTCAGTGTTACTGGAATGCCACAATCACAATTTCAGTTAGAATAATTAAACTACATCAATGTATTTTCTGTTCTGTCTGTATTTCTGTAGTCTAAACAGTAGATGAACTTTCATAAAACTATACGTAGCTATATTAAATACTTTTTGTTAGTGCAACACTAGCCATTCCAGTTGTTTTTATTTCTCCAACATATCTCCCCTTTTTGATAGGTATGGCTGAAAAGACACAGCTTCTAAAATTGAGTGTACCTGCTACATTTATGCTAGTGTCTTTAGATGAAGGACCAGGTCCTCCAATCAAATACCAGTATGCTGAATTGGGCAAGTTATATTCAGTAGTGTCTCAGCTGATCCGCTGTTGCAATGTCTCATCAAGAATGCAGTCTTCAATCAACGGTAAAGTAGACTGTTTTATTCTGTATCATAACTTAACAATAATGGTAGACTTCTGTATTACTTAATTAAATCTCTGAATATTTATAAAAACAAAGAGTCTGAAAGCTCATGCTTTTGTTACTTTTTAAAACCAAGAAGCTGTTTCACATGTTCAAAAAGAATTTTTAAAAATTTACTACCTACTGTGATAAATCCCTTACTTATGAAATGGTTGGCTTAAGAATTTTAACTTTAATTTTTTGTCTTCAGTGTCAGTGTTTGCATTTTTTTGGATCTTACCATCTTAGAATATATCTGATTATTTTAGTGAATGTTTTATTGGACCTAAGAAAGTTAATTTATAGTCAATTTTTTAAGTAAAAAATTCAGTATTGTAATTTTGTATAGAAGTTTATTGGCTTTTCATTGATGACAAATCTATTCTAGGTAATCCCCCTCTTCCCAATCCTTTTGGTGATCCCAATTTATCACAGCCTATAATGCCAATTCAGCAGAATGTGGCAGACATTTTGTTTGTGAGAACAAGTTATGTGAAGAAAATTATTGAAGACTGCAGTAACTCAGAGGAAACCCTCAAATTGCTTCGTTTTTGCTGCTGGGAGAATCCTCAGTTCTCATCTACTGTCCTCAGTGAACTTCTCTGGCAGGTTAAAGGAAAATAAACATTCATATGTCCATAACTTGATTCATGATTCCTTTAAATTAGTAATTCAACTATATTTTACTTGTTCTAGGTTGCATATTCATACACCTATGAACTTCGGCCATATTTGGATTTACTTTTGCAGATTTTACTTATTGAAGATTCTTGGCAGACTCACAGGTGGATACATACTTTTTGCTATCAGAATAATTACATTTTTTAGGTTCTAGAAATAATAATTGAAGTTACCAGCTGCCAAATACATTTTTACTTACTGAAGCTCTGTTAAGAATGTTTTATCTTAGAAACAATAATAAGAAATTAGGAGTGCCTGGCTGGCTCATTTGATAGAACATATGACTCTTCATGTCAAGATGGTGAGTTTGAGCCCCAGTTTGAGTGTAGAGATTACTTAAAACTAAAATCTTCATAAAAATAAAAAAATAATTTTTTAGACAGTTTTTTTTTTTTAATATTTTATATACTTATTTGACAGAGAGAAACACAGCGAGAGAGGGAACACAAGCAGGGGGAATTGGAGAGGGAAGAAGCAGGCTTTCTGCTGAGCAGGAAGCCCGATGCGGGGCTCGATCCCAGGACCCTGAGATCATGACCTGAGCCGAAGGCAGCTGCTTAACAGCCACCCAGGTGCCCCAGAAAAAAAGAATAATTAAAAAAATTAAAATGAAGGGGCACCTGGGTGGCTCAGTCAGTTAAGCATCTACATTCAGGGGCACCTGGGTGGCTGGGTTGTTAAGCGTCTGCCTTCGGCTCGGGTCATGATCCCATGATCCCAGGGAGAGAGAAAGAGCACAGTAGGCAGAGCAGCAGGGAGAGCTCCCTCCTTGCTGAGCAGGGAGCCCAATGTGGTACTTGATCCCAGGACCCTGGGACCGTGACCTGAGCAGAAGGCGGATGCTTAACGACTGAGCCACCCAGGTGCCCTACATTATTTTCTAAATTTGTAGTGCATAATCATTACAATCTTGAATTTCAGGGGGACTAGAAATACTAGTCTTTTTGAATTAATATTTTTAAATTGTCACCTAATTAGTCATCACAGATTTCAAACAGATCCATAATGTCAAAATAGCATTAACCAAAACCAGTCACCATTAGACAAAAGTATTACAGGTTCCAACCTATACACGTTTATTACTCAGTACCTATTTCAGTATCATGAACTTTGATTTTATTTTTATTTGACTTCTGGTTAGTTAACATACAGTGCAATACTGGTTTTAGGAGTAGATTTTGGTGATTGATCACTTAACATACAACACCCAGTGCTCATCCCAACCCTAGTGCCCATCACCCATCCCCCACCCACGTCCCTCCAGCAACACTCACTGTATTCTCTTTAAGTCTCATGGTTTCTTTGTCTCTCTCCTTTTTTTTTCTTTTTTTCCCCCTCTTCCCACATGTTCATCTGTTTCTTAAATTCCACATAGAAGTCAGATTATAATGAATATTTAGTTTATTCAGTATACGTTACAAAGTATCTTCTATGTGCCAGACCAGTTATAGGCAACAGGACAGGCAAAGACAATATGATTTACAATGGTATATGAAAATCAGTTGTAGTAATGGTAATGTGGCAAAAATACTGACTTCATTATCACTTAAAACTGTAGAAGTATATATAGAGTATATACTACAATACTATAATATTCCAAGATAAACAAGACTTAGATTATGAATGTGTATAGTAAAAACAAAAGCACAAAACAGGTACCTGGCTGGCTCAATCAGAAGAGCATGCAACTCTTGATCTTGGGGTCGGGAGTTCAAGCCCCACATTATGGGTAGAGATAACCAAAATAAAAACAACACACACAAAACCAAAAAATTTGTTTTTGATTTGGAATATAATGATGGTCTAGTAAGTAAATGGTGAAAAGGAGAATTTCTCTAGACACTTTTTATCTTGGTCTTCCTAAAAAAAGAAAGAAGGCACGTTTTGCCCATAAAGAATTTTAAATTTGCTTTTGAGAAAAATAATTGGTTGTATAAAATGTCATGCTGAGATTTGGTTAGAACTGCAATACAATCTGATTATTAGTGAATCAGCCAAGTTGTACTCTTGCCAGTAAAAATTGTGTTATCTGCCATATGTGTATTCTAATGATTAGAATTCAAGTTCATTTTATACTGTCAAATTACTTCACTTCCATACACACTAGACTCTGCAGTCTTTAAAAAAAAAGATCTGGGGGCGCCTGGGTGGCTCAGTCATTAAGCATCTGCCTTCGGCTCAGGTCATGATCCCAGGGTCCTGGGATGAGTCCCGTGTTGGGCTCCCTGCTCCACGGGAAGCCTGCTCCTCCCTCTCCCATTCCCCTTGCTTGTGTTCCCTCTCTCACTGTGTCTCTCTCTGTCAAATAAATAAGATCTTTAAAAAAATAAAGATCTGCAGGGCACCGGGGGGGGGCTCAGTTAGTTAGGCATCCAACTCTTGGTTTTGGCTAAGATTATGATCTCAGGGTTGTGGGATTAAGCCTCCTGTCAGACTCTGTGCTTAGCAGGGAGTCTGCTTGAGATTCTCTCTTTACCTCTCCCTCTGCCCCCCTGCCTCCTGCACATGTGCACAAACACTCTCCCTTCTTTCTCTAAAATGAATTGAAAGAATGATCTGACTCTAATTTGATGAAACTCAAATTAGATTCAACTGGAGCAGTTTTACAGATATAGTTATAGTTAATTTTAATCCTTAATTCACTATTAGTAATGGATTTAAATTATAGTTAGCAAGATAATATTGGATTAATAATTTGAGTAAGACTTCAGACTTCTCAGTCAGACTTTAGCCATCTCTCCAACTTGCTACCTCTATGACATTAGGCAAACAATTCTGTACTTGTTTTTTTTTAAGATTTTTTTATTTATTTATTTGAGAGAGAATGAGATAGAGCATGAGAGGGGGGAGGGTCAGAGGGAGAAGCAGACTCCCCGCTGAGCAGGAAGCCCGATGCGGGATTCGATCCAGGGACTCCAGCATCATGACCCGAGCCGAAGGCAGTCGCTTAACCAACTGAGCCACCCAGGCGCCCCTATACTTGTTTTTTCATCTATAAAATGGGTTTATGATTACCTAGGAAATTAAGGTTAAATGGATTTGATGATTACGTCAAAACATGTATTGAACAGCACTAAGTAGGCACAGTGTTAGCTACTAGATACTACAAATTTTTATATCTGATTCTTTTTTAGAATTCATAATGCACTTAAAGGAATCCCAGATGATCGAGATGGTTTGTTTGATACAATCCAGCGCTCTAAGAATCACTATCAAAAAAGAGCATACCAGTGTATAAAATGTATGGTAGCACTCTTTAGCAATTGTCCTGTTGCTTACCAGATATTACAGGTGAGAATTTTTTTCTCAAATCATGTGATAATCTGTATCATAATTAACTGCTTTAAAAGAATTGTGAAAATTTGGACTTAGAATTTAAATTAACATTGAAAATTATTCTAAATTTTTTCACATAATTTTTTTTCTTCTTTTGAAGGGTAATGGAGATCTTAAAAGAAAGTGGACCTGGGCAGTGGAATGGCTTGGAGATGAACTTGAAAGAAGACCTTATACTGGCAATCCTCAATATGCTTACAATAATTGGTCTCCTCCAGTGCAAAGCAATGAAACATCAAATGGTTATTTCTTAGAGAGATCACATAGTGCAAGGATGACTCTTGCAAAAGCTTGTGAAATCTGTCCAGAGGAGGTAAAAAAAGCCATCAAGGGGCAGCAGATAAAAATGGAAGAAAGAAAAGTAATTTTTTATATTTATAGGCCAATGTCTGTTACATAAAAAAAAATTGTGTTGCACTTTTGTTGGCCTTAATGTTTTTTGTTGCTTGATTTTGTTTTTAGGGACTCAAAGGAGCTTATTAACTCCTTTATTAGAGTTATTTTGGAGAAATTTCTGTGAATCTAAGAATTATATATCTGGGAAAATCTAATTTTTTTCTCTAATTGTTAATCATTTTATTTGCTTTAAATGAAAAAATGTTAAAGCAATCAGGTGCACTTTTTTTTTTTTTTAAGATTTTATTTATTTGTTAGAGACACAGGAAGAGAGGGAACACAGGCAGGGGGAGTGGGAGAGGGAGAATCAGGCTTCCCACGGAGAAGGGAACCCAGTGTGGGGCTCCATCCCAGGACCCTGGAACCATGACCTGAGCTGAAGGCAGATGCCTAATACTGAGCCACCCAGGCGCCCCCAGCGGGTGCATTTTAAAGACTTTTTTCTCAAAAGGAAAGTAAAATAAATTTAAAGTTGCTTTCATAATCAAATTACTAATTTCTTTATTTAAAATTAGGAGCCAGATGACCAGGATGCCCCAGATGAGCATGAGTCATCTCTACCAGAAGATACCCCATTGTATCCTCATTCATCTGGATCTCACTGTCAACAGGTAAAGAAAGGTTTGGTGGGTTTTTATGTTTTTTTGTTTGTTTTTATTCAGTAAGTTTTTTACTTTACCTAAAGAGAATTTCGTTATTTTCCTTACATATTCTGTAAATTATCAGCTGTGACTATGATGTAATAAAGGGATTATTTAGCATAGCTTTGCCAGGATGATCAGAGGAAGAGTGTGGTTAGAGTTGATGTCATGTTGCAACATGTTTCAGTCTACCCTTACGGCATTTTTCCTGGCCAGTTAGGCAGTCCTCTTGTGCTACTTGCTGTAATTAATAAAAATGTGTGATATTTCACATTAACATAAAATTAATAACTGTTGAAGAAACATTAAGACAAACATATCTTGGTTACTTTTGCCCCAGTATTCCTTTTCAGTAAAAATGTTTTACAAAATCAGTTTGAGTGATTTCAATAGATGATTCACTGGGGGAAAATGATAACTGGTAAGAAATATACATTTCAATATTCATTATACATTCAATATACAGTTCAGCTTTCATTCAAAAACAAGAATTTGGGGAAATGTTTCTCAAAGATTGTCCTAAGTTTGAACCACAAACATGACTAATTGAGGTCTTTAAATTTAATATGTCTCAGAATCATGTAAAGGCACTTGTTAAAAACAGGTTGCTAAGTTCCCAACTCCAGGATTTCTGATACATTTGAGGTGGAGTATAAGACTGTATTTCTAACCAGTTTCCAGGTGATGCTGATGCTGCTGGTCTATGGACCACAGTAAGAGGAACAATTCTCTTAAGCAGAGCATTTGGTGATAAACATTTTAAAATACTTCCCTTGTGAAAGTAGAATCCAATTTTATCACAAAGTCACATTTTCACAAAACAATTTATCATATCATACTTACATTCTTTAGAATATTAGAATTATTTTGTAACTACTACTTGATTGTTTTTAAAAGATAAATCCCTAGAAGAGACATGTCTACTTTTAGACAAACATCCCATGATTTTTCATTTTAATTTTAAGATATGAAAAGTTTGACATATGGTTCTCTTTCACCCTCAGAATAATCATGTGCATGGGCAGCCATATACAGGGCCAGCAGCACAACACTTGAACAACCATCAAAAAACTGGCCAACATGCACAAGAAAACTTTGAAGGCAGTGAAGAAGTATCCTCATCTCAAATGAAGGATCAGTGAAATACCTATCATAACTGCTTCCTTTAAGACCATGCACTCAGGCCTTACTGTCCAAACATTTTCTGTGTCTGGCTAGTATTCAAAACTAGAGAAACTGTTCAACATGGAGTGGAAAGTCTATTCACTGTCTCATTTGCAGAAATTTACTGTCAGTATATATAAGCCACCTGCAGGGGAAAGTGTATAGTGTTTTGTATTAAATGGCTGATACTAATATGTAAATGGCAAAGATGTATATAGTATATTAATGTTTGACTGTTAATTCTTAACCAAGAAAAACAATTTTTTGATGAAGAGTCAGAGTTCTACAAAAAATAATTTTCTTGTTATGTGTGCTGCATTCTGCATCCAGTATTGTCTGCTTCATCTGGCAGTTGGATCAAAACCTTTATCAAAAATAAAACCAAAAGTAATATAAAACAGCCCATCTGTAATAATCACACCGTTGGTTTCTTGTTAATTCTAGTTACTAGAGCCATGTAAGGCTGATTGGTAACCTTTCAGTTGTATGGATGATGTGGAAAAATTGGTGATGTAACATTGTGTCTGGATATTTTTCATTACCTTTTTATTCTGGTTAATCACTTTTAAAGCTATAGTGATGCTGTAACATTTAGCATGGCCTCACACTAAGTTTGTGTAGCCAGTGAAGACAAAATCACCTGAGTGACAGCAATTTCCCCAGAGTGACAGTTGTGTTACCCAAAGGTTTTATTTCTTACACCTGGAGTACATATAAAACAAGAGGAAAAATGTGACAAAGAGGCAGTTTTCAGTTACTCATATATTCTTAATTTTTAAGTTTGACAGTTCAGTTCTCTTGTTGGGATAAAGAATGTGAAAATATTGGTTATAGGAATTTTAAAACATTAAAAAGAATATGCAAAGTATTATAGATGACTGTATTTTGTTTGCTTGTTTTGTTTTATGATAGAGTTTATTAGGTGAAACTTTTACAGAAACCCACTGAACTGGACATAATCAAAATCCCACAATATTTTGAAGTACCCTTGCACCTAGATATCTGACTGATTTTTCTAGTCAGTGACAATTTTACTTGAAAGCAAGAATTGTCCCAGTTCCTTTTCCATTCCAAACTCTTATGTTGTGGTATTTAATTTAAAACATAAACTTCTGGTTAGTTGATATAATTCTGAAGTACTATTTTAGAATAAACATTGGTTTCAGGATTCTATAACTCATGAGTTAATACTGGATTTAAAAAAGAATTGGTAACTTTTGAATGTGTGTAATATTTTGAAACCTGTCTAAAAACCAAATATCCTGCAAACAGATACGGCCTGTCCTATACTATTTAAATATTTTGCTGTTTTGTTTTATAGAAATTATTTTGCTGAATTCACAAATAGAATTTGATTTAAGAAGAATTTGTCTTGTGTGTTTTTGTTTTTTGTTACTCTCTTGTTCTTAAGCATTATACATTAACATTAACTATTTGTATAGCATATATATTCGCATGACACTGAATTCAACATTTCAGACATTGCGTCTTTGTGCTTAAAAGTATTTACTCTTTGGGGCATCTGGGTGGCTCAGTTTCTTAAGCGTCTGCCTTCGGCTCAGGTCAAGAGCCTCAGGGTCCTGGGATTGACCCCTGTTTCCAGCTTCCTGTCTCAGGAGGGAGTCTGCTTTTCCCTCACCCTGCCCCTTGTTCATGCTCTCTCTCTCTCTCTCAAATAAATAAATAAAATCTTTTTTTTATTAGAAAAAGGAAAAACAAGTGTTGGCACTTTTTTTAAAAATCCTAAGTTAATCAGTCTTATACTTTTGTCACATTTTTGTAGTCATTATTTACAGTGGTTCTATCACTGGGAACACTGGGAACACGGAGTTAACAAACGAATATTGAGCCTGTATTCCTTAGGATATACTGGGTTAGGATCCTGTAAGCTTCTAGTCACATTTTCATGTATCAGTGAGTTGAGTACATAACTTTATTTGTGCTTCTGTTTAAAGACTCTTCATTTATCAAATGTTGCTGATTAACATCGAACTCAATGCCAACACCACTTTTTTTTTTTAAATCCCATCCCAATGCAGGGCGTAAACGCATGACTCTGAGATGAAGACCTGAGCTGAAATCAAGAGTCAGACACATAACTGACTGAGTTAGTGCTCTAGCTCTAGCCCTGTAACTCATTCTTAAACCACCCTTATCTATAATGTAATTTCTCTTTAAGGCAGGGCACATAGCCTTCTTGTGCTTAAGAACACTGGGCATCACTTAAGCACTTTGCTTGGAGGCCATTTTTTAAACAGCGAAATTACCACTAAAAAACAAAAAAAAAGTGTGACAGTCAATAGACCCAAAGTCTATAGTATGAGAGCTGAAATATTCATATCAGGCACCTAAATATTTTTGCTGTTCTATCAGTGAATGGCCACACAAGTATTGATTTTGAGGTTATAAAGAAATTTTACTGGGGTGCCTGGGTGGCTCAGTCAGTTAAGGGTCCGACTCACGATCTCCCAATAATCATTTATGATGATAATGCACAGAGTATTAACAATCAAGGAGGCTCATACAAGCTTGATGCCCAGAGTTTTTATTGGCTCAATCTTGTGGACACGCTTGATTACTTGATGCCACAAGGCCAAAAGGCCTCACATTGTTATAGTGCACTGTCTGCCGAAACTGAAGACCAACCAGTAAAGACAGTGTTATGGGGCAGGACATTCTGAGCTTAGAGATTAACCTTTCTTCGGATGAGGTACACTTTCCTACACAGGCCACATCAAAATGATTATATTTAGGGGCCCCTGAGTGGCTCAGTCGTTAAGCGTCTGCCTTCGGCTCAGGTCATGATCCCAGGATTCTGGGATCAAGCCCCACATCAGGCTCCCTGCTCAGTGGAGAGCCTGCTTCTCCCTCTCCCACTCCCCCTGCTTGTGTTCCCTCTCTTGCTGTGTCTCTGTCAAATAAATAAAATCTTTAAAAAAAATTATATTTGAGCATCTACATTTAATGGTATATTTATATGACATATAACATTATACTAACACTATGGATAAGCCTAACATTTGGAGGAACCGGTATACATAGGGATAGAGTTAAAGATAACATATCCTATAAACATTACATGCATTTTCATACTTTTGTATTAATTTGCTCATTTCTTTGTTATACTGTTAATTGTATCTTATGATGAATTGGTGTAGAACTATTTACCATAGAAGTTGGGTGATGAGTACTTATATCTAGTTCTCTCTCAGCCAATCATATCTTGTGCGTATTATTTCCTAAAGAGGCTTTAATTCAGTCTGCCAGTACATTTGATTAATAATTAGCATTCTCATAAGACCTGTTTACATAAAGTAGTTGAATCTTACCAGCATGTCAGTATCACAGTATAGTCAAGTTCCAATTTAGGAATGTCTGCCTGGCTCATTTTGTAGAGCATGCAATTCTTGATGTTGAGGTTATAAGTTCAAGCCCCATTTTGGGAGCAAAGATTACTTAAAATCTTTCTTTAAAAATACAATTCAGGGGCGCCTGGTGGCCCAGTCAGTTAAGTGTCTGCCTTCAGCTCAGGGCTTGTGATCTTAGGACCCTAGGATCATCAGTCTCCCTGCTCAGCAGAGACCCTGCTTCTTCCTCTCTCTTTGCCCCTCCCCCCCAACTTAGGCTCTCTGATACTATCTCAAATAAATGAATAAAAATCTTTTTTAAAACATGATTCAGTTTGATTACAGAACAAGCTACCAAGAATTATGAAGTCACATTTGCTATGCCTTCCCAACAGAACCATGTCTTGCACAAATGTCAGATATTATTATGGCTAGGCATTACGATAAAGCACCATTTGGGGATGACTGAGTGGCTCAATTGCTTAAGCATCTGCCTTCAGCTCAGGTCAGGATTCCAGGGCCCTGGGGTCGAGCCCCGCATAGGGTTCCCTGCTCACCAGAAAGCCTGCTTCTCCCTCTCCCACTCCCCCTGCTTGTGTTCCCTCGCTCACTGTCTCTCTCTGTCAAAAAATAAAAATCTTTAAAAAAAGTTGTAAATAGCAGGGCCTGTATCCTATAATGTTTCAAACTGACAACCTTTCTTTAGGGATTCCCATTTAGCATATCCAATCAGGATTGGCCTGGAGACAAACTTAAAAGTTTTTTGTTTTACTGTACTCTTTAGGAAAAATGTGTTCCCCATTCCAGTTTTCATCCAAACTCCTTAATCCCATCAACTCTTGCATCCCCACTCTCCCAACTTTAGCCTTCATTAGATTTTAGCAAAGCTCTTAGAATCACAGTGGGCTCTGTGTCAAGGAGTTCAAGACAAGATTTGTTCTGGGTCCTTTAATGTTGAGGAACCACCACGAGGTCGCATTAGTTCAACCAACCTCCAGTGGTGCTACACTATATCAGTATCTGCTTTATTTAGCTCATTTCTTAATAACCATTTACAATTATCCAGGCTTTTGGAAAGAATGCTAGATTCTCTTCCATGTCTTCCTGGACCCTTTTGTGAATTACTAATTTTCTTAGCATATGTACAACCGGTAAGAAAAAGCTGAGGCAACTACGACAATGCAGCTTCTTGGATTGTTGGTGATATTTGCAACAATAAAGAATACCTATGCAAAAGGGACACGGCCCCCCCATCCTTAAAGCATTTTCCATGACGTGGGTAAGGGGCATATTCTGCAGATCAATATCCAGATCCCCATGAAGCCAGTTTACCATGTCTTATACACACATATTACCCACTCTATCTGGGAGTTCCACTTGGCTTTAGGAGAAAAATTCGCCTCCAGGGGTAAACAATTTTACAGTGGCTTTTAACCAACCCAAGTTAGCTGTCCCTTTGAGAATAACCTGCTATGTTTTTGAATCATGTAGAACCATCTGTGATTATTCAGTACTGAGGTGTGGATCCTGTACCAACTGAAATATATTCTTCTATTGTACAGCACTCAAAACCAAATATACTGCCCCTAAATTAATCACTGTTACAGTCAGTTTAGTGAAGATTCTTCAGGAAGGTGACAATACCAATCCACAAAACTATACAACATATGCACTTTTATACCCCTTACTCCACCTGGATTATCTTCTTGGAAATTAACAGTCATAGAAGTGTTGTCTAGGGGCACCTGGGTGGTCCAGTCTGTTAAGCATCTGCCTTCAGCTCAGGTC